AGATATGAAGACCAAGATGGTGTGGCCTTTTGTGTGGTCGCAGTCTCCTTTCGTTGTATACAAGTTGTTTAACGTTGTTTTCGCAACTTGGTCATATTGGTAGGAAGAACTAGAGGGAAACACCTAGTCCGGAGTCCATTATATGCATGATCATTTCCAGTCGGACCGTGGACGTGGTACATTCCCAGACGCTTCGCCGGCATCGTCAGTGAGTCTTGCCATTCCTAGCACGACACTACAACTCGTCAAAGAGGCAAGTGAAGCCGATCCTTTAACTAAATGTGCGTTAAACAGTTGTGGTATCTCCCCTTCTGCCCTGGGCTAGTCACATTTCCTACATCCTCCAACCACACCTTCACTGTTGCAATTTGTACCGTGCTTATTTCGATGTAGTGTGGTGTGCCCTTTGGAACGGCTTTCATGAGAACTCTCCACACTCTACGCTGGCCTTCTCACCCTCGTGCTGGGAATGTTGAACAGAGTCTGTCATATTGTGGATGCCGTCCACCTTCCCTAGGTCTTATCAGAGTCTCTCTCTTGCCCCGTAGGATCCGCCTGCTATCTCCCTGGTTCTAGTATTTCACTTGACCTCTGCCACTCCATCTGTGCTACTCGAGGCGTTATTACCCATCCCCTGCGTCTATGGCTTTCCATGCCCAAATCCAGTGGTTCCCAAACTTTTCCTAGTCGTGGCGCCCTTTTTAAATTAAAATTTTTTCTAGACACCCTACCCTAAGTAAGTAAGAGATAAAAATAAATAAAACTTGTATATCTTCATTATTTTTTTAACTTTATTAACAATATATTAATGTTTAATAATTAATTGGATGGATGAGCCTGCAAATCAGTGCAAATTTTCTCAAATTGAAGCTTTTACAATATTTCGCGGCGCCCCTAGTAAAGAAGACGCGGCGCACAGTTTGAGAATCACTGCCCTAATCTCTTGTGTGCCAGCCCACAAATGTTGTGGTACTGTTTGCTAAATGTTGAACCACAACGTTTGTGGGTTGACTGACAGTAGGTTTTACAAGAGACGTGGTCCATGTAGCAAAGGCTTGACGATGAGACTTACTCGGAGGCTTTAGCCCCGAATTAGTCACCCAGACGCAGGACAGGGGTAATAACGCCTCGAGTAGCACAGATGGGGTGGCAGGAGTCGAGTGAAATACTTGAACCAGGGAGAGAGCAGACGGATCCTACGGGGCAAGAGGGAGACTCTCATAAGACCTTGGGGAGGAGGACTGCGTAACAATATGACAGAATCTGATCAAAATTCCCAGCACAATTGTAAAGGAGGGTGAGAACACCAGCATGGAGTGTGGAGGTTTCTCATGAAATCACTCAAAAGGGTACCCCAATTTACATGCAAATAAGGAATGAAAACATTGCGATAGTGAAGGCATGATACGAGGATATAGGAAAGGTGAATAGCCCATGGCAGAAGGAGAGATACCACAACTGTTTAACACACATTTGGTCAAAGAATTGGCTTCACTTGTCTCTTTGACGAGTTGTGGTGTGGTGCTAATAATGGCGAGACTCAATAATGATGCCGACTACGATGCCGGCGAAACGTCTGGGAATGTACCACGTCCACGGTCCTACTCTGAAAATGATGATGCATACAATGAACTCCGGACTAGGTGCGTTCCTATAAGTCTTCCTACTAATAT